ACAAGGCCGCAGTCGCAGCCTTCATCCCTTCCACTGCGGCGCCTGCCAGCTGAGGCCGTCTCCGTATGAGCGGTGACCGGCCGATCTACAAGGCAATTTTCCTTTAGCAAATCAATACCTAAGACCATATTGCATGGACACCGTTGTTGTCCACCTGGAATCGCGTCACGGAAATCAAAAGGCGAATCCACAAATATTTATAACGTCGTCATTTTCGTATTGGATTCTTTTGAACAACGTGAAGCCAATAATACGTCGTGTTTCTTTGTTTTATGTCTTAGCAGATTTTCTATTTGTTTCTAGTTCTAGCCCTTAAACAGTGATGAATTACATGGCTAATTCTGTGCTTCTCCCAGACCCAGCGCCACCATGCGGAGAAGTCGAAATGACACTGGGAGTAAAGGAGTCCCCGAGGAGCCCATTCCGAGGCTCCTGTTCAGAGGATACGTGGAGCTAACGACCGCCCGCTTACACAAGGTCATGGTCAATACCGGAATCCTGGAGGTGGAGAGCGACCTGATAGCCGGGGCGAGGGCCAAGGTCTTCTTCCAGAGGTACGCTGTGTACCTAAATGAATTCCTTCTGGTTCTGACAAACAGTGAGCAGCAAAAAAGGCGGGGTAACTGCCTCTCTCTCGCGGTTCCAGGGCGTGCTTCGAGGCGAGATCTCTTGCGTAGGTATCCTGAAGAAGGTCGACGGCTACTGCAGAGTATTCTTCGCCCACCAGTGCTTCCTGTATGGCGTGTGTCTGCGGGACGTGCACCTAGAAGACGTCCTGCACGAAGGTAGCCGCCTCCTTTTCTCTCTTTCAGTCTCGGTGAGCCAGTGTCGCTCAGGCGGGAGTCTTGGCGTCTCTCGCTGGCGTGAAGAGTTCCATTGGGGTGGGTTTTCCGTAACAAAAGTAACAGAAAGAGGAAAAATACATTTATACGACCGTATACATACTTGCATGACTATTAGCACACACACGCACACGCACACGCACACGCCCACACACACACACACACACACACACACACACACACACACACACACACACACACACACACACACACACACACACACACACACACACACACACACACACACACACACACACACACACACACACACACACACACACACACACACACCGAGGTAGTGGTTGTGAGCTGCGTCCGGTTTAAGATGTTTAATAACTCGAAGGCGGAAGGCGCAGCGGTCGGGGACAGATGTATGGAAATCGAAATCGATAAGAAGTAAAAGGAGAAATGGATGGGGAGAGAGATAAGAGGACGTAAAGAGAGAAATGGAAAGAGAGTGGGAGATTAAAAGGGGCGAAACCCCTTGCATAGTAAACATATAATATACTCGTTCATATCTGCAGTTAATGGGGGGGGGGGGGGTAAGTTACGTTGCGTTACTAGTGTTATTGCTGCACTGCTGGCTCTTAATAATTAAGGTAATGATTAAAGTAATTAAAGTAAATAAAAGTAAATACCTCTTTTTTGTTTGATTTTGTTTTTGTTTTTGGGTTATTATAGTATTTTTTTTGTTTATTTTTATAGAGTAACAAAGTGGCTAGAGAACAAAGAAAGAAACAGAATTTTTTTTTCACTGATTTTGCTTTTATTGTATGGAGCGCTTTAGTCTTTTCTTCTTCAAAACAAAGCAACAGCAAACAACAGCAATAATAATAATAATGTTTATTATAACAATAACAAAGGGCAAAGACAGAGGATAATGACAGAATTTGTCATTCACCTTACAAAGAAACCAGAAAAAATGGAGTACACAGAATTAAATTTGTCGCAGCAGGGGGAACATGTCACATTAGGTGCTAGTTACTAAGGATTTATTATGATTATGAAGTTCATTAGAGTACCATCATATTGTAGAGTGAAGATTAGCTAGATTGAGCAAGAATTCCACATCTTCGGGCTAAATAGGCAAGTACTGGTACTACGGGCACATAGAAGCAGCTGGGCCTGAACTTAACTAACCATACGCATATATATATATATATATATATTATATATATATATATATATATATATATATATATATATATATATATATATATATATATATATATTTATGCGGTGTGTGTGTGTATTAATTTTAAACATAATCATGTGGAGATTTGGGCGCTTTAATTGGGATGTTTGCGTGAGCAAGGTGGGGAAAAGTTCTCGAAGCGCCGGAGCAGATTTCTTCGTTTACGGCTGTGACATGAGCTTAAATAAACTTTTTTGGGGTGATTATTACTATATAAGCCTATTTAAGGCATAGGTTGAGTATGACCTGTGACACAAAGTGTGTATTTGTAACGTATCAACAATCACCTTTTCGGTGTATTGAACCAACCCGGCTTGCCGGGTTCAGAATCATTGTTAATAATGCTTTGCTGGTTGTGCAGGTGCTTACTAAAACACATTTACTTTACTTGGTTTATTGTGGTAGCTGACATGGTACGCTGAAAAGGCACAAGAATTTAAATTTATTTCCAAAATAAACACCAACATGGAACTACACGAAGTCCATTCCATACGCTAGGTCGAGGTAAACTGACGATCCAGCCCCTTCCTCCTGACGAACTGTCTGGTTGACTTGCTTATTTAGTAATAAGCAGTTTGGCAATTGGAAAAAAACAGACTAAACGACAAAAATAAAAGTTGGGATACAAATGCAAAATAAAACAAAATAACACGAATAATGAAAAGCCTCAGTGTTCCTGGTAAAGTTTAAAAGAAATAAAAACAATATTTAGACGAGGTGGACCATGGGGTTCACTATAACGGGAATATAATTACATATACTTAATAAAACTGTCAGCGTAAAATAACAAATTTCAGCATTACTTAAGATCAATTGACGTGTGCGGGATTTCTGTTGTTTAAGGTTAGTAATGAATTCATATGTAGAGAACTTACTTTTCATGCTGACATAAATTTTACCCTGGAAACTTGTAGTACACCTAGACATTCACATGTGCACATGCATACATACACAAACACAGATACATACATACATATAGACAGACAGACAGACACACACACACACACACACACACACACACACACAGAGTCATTGATTCTTCTAAACTTCAGTAAAAAAAAAATCATGATAATATTTAAGGTTATAGCTTTTCTTTTAACTCCACATTGCATTTTTTTTTCATTATACTCAATTTATGATACAATTTATGATACCACATTTATGATACTCAAATGAGACAGTACTAAACAGCTGAAGACCATGGCTGGACAACTTTGCTTGTGGTTCGTGAAGCCTTCCTTCATAGATATCAATGACCTGAATTGATGTCTACCTGTATTGTTCTTTTTTTCAGGAAAAATGGTATCCTACAAGCTGTCTGATGATGGCTGGAGGGTAAAGAGTGTGCTGATTGGTAGCAACCACTGCACAAAGACCCTAGACCCTAAGGACCTTTTCTATGTGCTGAAAGCTTGGTGTCACTCAAACTGCATTCCCCAGGACACAACAGATATACTAGTAAATATTTAAATGTGTCAAGAATTGTCAAAAAAAAAAAAAAAAAAAAAACCTTACATCAAGTTATTTTTGCATTTCACATTCAAATATTTGGGACCAGAATTCACTCTGACAGAAGTTAGAAAAGCCATTCATGAGACTAACCTCACAATACATAAGATGTAATTCCCATATTCATCAGAGCTTCCTGTGATTTTGAATAAGATTTTTATGAAACACATGATGTATTTCTTATATCATGAAGTACTTTATAATCTTTTTCTATAAATATTTAATACCCATATGAAAGAAGTCTTACTAACACCTCTTTTTCTCTGTTAAACTTAGCAGGATGGATTCCTGATGACTTGAACCCAACCATTGACCAGAAGGATTACAAAGAAGTCGTGGATGCTGACAGTTTGCCAGGACCATAGACAATATGGGAGAAAATGTGTAGAGAGAAAAGGTTTAGTCCTTTGGATTCTGGCTTTGAATAATGCCACTGGACCTTATAATGATATTAATAAGATAATATCTTTATGATTGGGAGTTGCTGCTGAATGTAAATCTTCCAATTATTGATGGTGAGTGACAACTACATACATGAGTACCTGTAATGTTTGAAAATTTAACTTTGATATGTCTGTAAAGGTTGATTCTCTGGTTCCTGGTTAACTATAATATTCATGGATTGTACTTTTACTTTTCATGGTGAAGAGATTAACCATTTTCTGAACATTTTCAATTATCATGCCATATACCAAAAACTGTTTAATATGAAATGTGATTGACCTCTGGCTATAAAAAGAAAATGCTAGCTAAAATAGACCCACTTCAGTGAGATTTGTGATGGCTGGCTTTGTCTGAACCTTTTGCAATATGGTGGAGCTATTGAGTGTCAATTTTTGTAAAGCAGAGACCAATTCACTGATGATCCTAGAGTAATAATTAGTGTACACTGGTCTTAGACACCCATATCTGACCACAGTACAGATCTATGATAACACAAAGTGCATATTTCTCATACATGACTCTTAGGATAATATTTAAGGCCTATTTCTCATTTAGGTTTCATTTAATAGCACTATAACAACCCACTATAAAAGTAATATGGCATATTACTTTTATAGTGGGTTGTTATAAAAAAAAATACTGTTAATATAAACATGCATTAAATTTAGACTTTCATTTCCCATAGTGTATTGAACAGGATGTTGTCGGTTATTTGGATGCCTGGCAACTTCCTTATATGGGAGGCAACAAAAAGGATACGTATGGTTGAAAGCTTAAGTACAAATGCAGAATTTTTTTGTGAGTAAAAGGAACACACACACATACAAATTGGTTGTGAAGTAAAAGAGCAATATTAGTTAGTATGGAGCCTTGTAGGAATGATGAACTTTGTTGTTTATTTCTCTTCATGAGGTACCTTCACTGTGGTGTTTGATGTCAAAATACATTTAGAAACTTTTAGTGAGTCACAGTCCATTAAAATAATATTAATTGTATAAACAAACTCAAAATATGGCATTTAATTTTATTTAAAAACCAATTATATACATTTGCATAACTTGTCTGTTATTATATAATTACTACAAAAAAGTTTTATAAAACTGTACATAAAAATACTTGTGACAGTAAGAAAAACACAAAAAAATAAAGAATGAAGAAGATAATGAAAGAAGTGAAAAGAAAATGAGCCTTAGTTAACTTTGTATTAAGATTTATCACAGTTGTTTTCTGAGAAGGGAACCAATGTCTTTCTGCCGAGCCTTCTCTTGCCATTCTTGAAAATACTTCTCCATTTGTCGCCGAGAATTTGGATTGCCGACATTGACTGTTGGGATGATCTTTTTTGGCTGGATGAATTGCACAAATCGCTTCAACTCATTAAAGCTGGAGTGTTCTGAGTATGGTATACCTGAAACATGTGTTTTTTAATAAATACACTTTAAATCCAAAACCTTGATCTATTATAAGAAAAATATAGATAAAACGTTTGCTTTATGAAAAATCAAAAGAAAACCCAAGAATCCAGTTTCAACTCCTCTTAACTTAATGCATAAAGTTTTCCTATAGTTCTTGCTAATATACTGACAGATTGCAGAAACTACATATATATATTAATAACTATCATCCCAATACATATTCATTATGTAGCACAAATATATACATATATATGCCTCAGCAAAATACACATATAAACAAACAAACAAACAAACACAGACAAAATATCTATTTATTTATCACTACTTGCTTCAGGGTGATTTCAAGTTTATTACCAACTGCCGGCAGTGAAATTTCAACCCCTATCCAGCCTATGCAAAGTAAATCAGCGTCGTTCAATTAGATCATGGTTACATGAGTGAAAACATGAAAATATGAAATCTCCAAACTTGGCTGATTTTTTTAACCAAGTGCTGCTAGGAACATGTAGTTGTTTCATTAAATGTTTTTAGAGGGATGGCTGCACAAGCCACCAAAGTCAATTGAAAGTCTATGTGACCTTAACTGATTTCCCCTTTCCTTGAGTTTTTGAGGATTTTTGTTTTTTTACTAAGGCTATCAATGTCACAATGTTACAGTACCTGGCAGCACAGATTGTATTACCAAACACTGAAAAGAAAAGAAAAGAAAAGAAAAAAAAAATATAAATGGCACAAATAATTGTTACATTTTCTTTTTTTTTATTTACAACACAGAGAGATGATATGGAGTCTGTGCAAGGAAAGTAATCTATTACCATCTAGATAAAGCAAATAAATCAAAAGATGAATGTGGACATTGGAAAATGTCAAAAAAAAGCTAAAAAAGTTTACTCAAAATGACTTTGTAAAGGGACACAGAGTCCTGTCACTGCTCAAAAGTATTCATGCTGCATACTGAGGATATTGGCCACTTACGTAACTCACTGTCTGTATTTTTGGCACTATGATTCCCATGACGCAACCGAATCCAACAGGTTAATAAGCAAAACTCATAGTGGTCATGGCAAGTATGTCATCCCGTCTGACATGGGATTAATAATGAAATATAGTATTTCCTACTGTTGGTAAGCCTGAAAGTACCGACTATGAATGCCTGTAATACTTAAACACAGTAATCATTGTCAGTGTAGCCACTAATGCAATACTCACCATACATATAGACATTGCCACACTGCTTCGAGGCAAGATTTTCCAGTCCCTGTCCCTGGTCGCTGGAGTGCTCCCAGCCAGTTGGCCGAATCGCCACCACCACTGAGTACCTTGGTTTCAGGGTCTCCACATATGTCATCAGCTTCTGCATGGGGTATACATTTGGTTAGTTAATCAATTTTTGGGGAACTTTAGTTTTTTTAAATAATACCCAAACTGTCACATTTAACCATTGTACCAAACAACCACACATCCTATTTCCAAGACAAGAGCTAGTATGGGCATTTTAGGTTGTACATTAGTGAACACAGAGTGGGTACATATAGAAAAATTTTGACATAGATACAAAGAATAATTTATTTTTTTTTCCGTCCAATGTTGCCACACTACTTCCAAAAGTAAGATGGGTGGTACAGTCAAAGGTTTGACTATCACTCACCTATCTATCTTCAGTGATAAATATGTTAGTCCAAACATGCTCTCCCTCTCATTGGTGGGTCTTCTCACTAACATCAAAATATAAGCCCTAGTGACAATAGTAGATGTCTCAGAGCAGAGGCTATGGCTTTGAACACTCTCTCTTTGCCTAGGAGATTTTGGGTGTTGAGAAAAGTGCCAGGGATGTCGAGAAAGAAAGAAAGAAAGAATGTCTACTATATATGAATAGTTATATCATTCTGGTTCTTTAATCAGCTCATTTGCAAGCGAAAAAAGTGTGATCAAGAGTTGTTTAACTGACATGCAAGTTAACCCAAAAGAAATCTCACAACAGAACTTTTAAGGAACCAAAGATATTTATCAAAAGCTATTACCAGCTTTTGTGTGCATTCCTTTGGAAGGCCATCTTAAGCATCATTGTCATTGACGAGAACAGATTACATTTTAAAACCCTGAAAAATACATATGCATCCATGAGGGGTATCACAACAAGGTACTCTTCTATATTTTATAAATAAATAAATAAGCAAAATAAAAATGTATTACCTATAGAGTAGGAACCAACAACAATGAGAGTCTTGTTGTTGTCAGCAACGTGACTGGTAGCAACAGACACACACTTATCTATAACATCTTCTTGTCTTGGAAAGTCATACACAGCATTGCAGTACCTGTGATAATATACAACATGGTAAAATAAAAGACAAATATTAAAAATATCAGCACCAATATAAAGATTACTGATTGCAGACATCATCAATTGTAATGGAAGGATTATGTTTCCTGAGAAAATGTGTCCTTGATATTGGCTCTCTCTCCAGAGAAAGTAGAAAAAAGAAGTGAAGAGTAATTGAGAGAGAACACCAAATAATAATAATAATACAATAATAATAATAACAATAATAATAATAATAATAAAAATAACAACAATAATAATAATAATAATAATAATAATAATAATAATAATAATAATAATAATAATGATAACAATAATAAAAAAGAAGGAAAGAAAAAAGAAAAAAAGAAGAAGAAGAAATCAGATGAGTCACCCATCCCTGGCCTGCATCCCAACGGGTCACACAATCTAGGCATTCCTAGACTAGTCGTATCTTACTCACGTATTCAGAGAACACAGAAAAGCCTAATCTTATTCAACCACTAATCAACATCCTTGAAAATGGATGAGTAGAATCTACTTTTTTTTTTTATATAGTAGTTATGGCAATTACATCCCCCCTCTCTAATCACAACAGGAGCCCCCAGTGACATAAGGAACAATGCTTCAGGGTGCATGTGGAGTCAGCTGCTTAAGGGAAAAATCTGAAGGGCTGGAAACATGACATTACCCTGCTATCCATTCTAATGCCTGCAATTCAATTTTTTTTTTCATATGAAATAAAGCTAAAAAGAAGTTTTAATGAAAGCCTACTTTTGAGGTGTTTGATGGCTCATGACACAGAGATGTCATCCCAGGATAAATAGATGATAATGTTAAAAACCTTGGGTATCAATTTGTATATATTAATATCACACTGAAATGTGTATCTGGACTATCAGTTTATTTCTACATACGTTGTATCTAGGAACAGTGTGTCAACAGAGCAGTTCCATAATGCTGGGTATGACTCCATTTTTGGATGAGCTCGAAAATCCCCCACATGAAGAATAGTAGCTCCTGTTCGCAGTTTGAACAGAAACATCACAGCTCCTGGACAACTGCAACAAAAATGAAACATCTTAGATTCAATATAATAACAAAACCTTTTATAATAAATGAGGGAATGTACTTCTTATTTACTGCTATAACATTTCTAAAATCATTGTTTCTAAAACAATACATATAAAAGTGAAGCTCTTGGTCATCATTTTTCTAAAGCAGTATAAAATCTCACAAAATAAACAAAAAATGTTGACATGCATCACACGAAGCATTGCCACAACCTACAGATTCTATAGGACCCTGCCTCTCTATGTGTGTCTAGAATTGCTGAGGTCCTAATCAGTCATGGTACATGAGACAAACTCACAAGAAGTAGACCAGTACTCTGGGGCCTTAAACTACATAGCCACTATACACAAAAACTTGAATGGTATAAAATAAGAACTAAGGGAGTAAACACAAAACCGAACAATTATTTTGTTATCTTCTATCAAATTAATAGAAACTTTACATTTAAGTGAAACTGAACTTTTGGAAGTAAAAGTTTCTTACTGGTTAGCTTCAAGGAGAGTGACTTCCAGGCCACACACATACTGAGGTTCCTCCATGGGAAGGAAATGCAGATATTTCAGAGGAACTCCCAGTCGTAAGTTGACTAGTCTCCCTGGAATAGAACTTCATTCTCAGTCTCTATAAATGATAAGTAGATAGCATAGAGCATGCAGACAAAATACTTAATTCTGTTAGATATAATACTCCACACATTTTATGAACTTATCAAAATTCAATTTCAACTAACATAAATGACAGAAGCAAACATTCATTCAACAAGATAAAGAGAAAAACATGGAAAGGCAACAGTATACAGTGCAAAGACTCATCAAACTTGAAGCAATAGTGCTAGCAGCCACAGGTAAGCAACAATGGGCAACATAAAACAGTAATGGACATTGGGATTTGATGAACAACAAAGATCCCAATTTGTATGTCTCCTAGTAGTTTTGAACAAATACCAGTACTTTCCATATTCAGTTAACTATACTGTATGTAACAATATATAATTGAGGTTCAATTACAGTCATATTGCAGTAATTCTGAATAAATACATATGAAAAAATGTGGAAAACATAAACCATGCAAAGCATACAAATTCAGAAAGCTGGGTATAGTCATGGTATGCAATAAATGACCAAAAAATGAGTTTCAGAAATCTTTTCATCCTTTATTTCAAACATGATATGAAAAGGGATTTAATAGCAATTAAAGAAATAAGAAGCACTATAGGAAACATCTAATTTAATATGAAGTCCCTCTATGGGTTACAAATGAAAGTGGGATACAGATTATGAAAGACAGCAAAGCAAAATACAATAACACAACCTTTCTTCCCATTATGCTTAGCCTATTTCATATTTTTTTCAGATATCGGACAAAACTCAGACATTAATTACTTTGAACATTCTATATCCCCCTTGCAAAAAAAATTGCATCTAACCTGTTATTTCACTGCAGTAAATAGGTTGGTTAAATTTCTTGGAGAGGCCTCTGTAGTGGTCATAGTGGAAGTGCGTGAGAAAGTATGCCTTCACACCATCCAAGATGCCATAGCAAAAGGCATCTACTACAACATCTGTATCTAAAGACAACATATACATTGCATTAGTTGTGGATGAAGATCTTTTGTGTGTTTTGATCATTATCAAATAATTATAAGAAAAAACTTTATACCCGAATTAAATTAATACATCTCTCTCTCTCTCTCTCTCTCTCTCTCTATATATATATATAATATAATGCATTAACAAGATTTATTTGTACATTGTGTTTTTTTCTTCCCATAGTGTCTACACGGTAGTGTTTTTCCATTTATATATATATATATATATATATATATATATATATATATATATATATATATATATATATATATATATATATATATATATATATATATATATATATATATATATATATATAATGTGTGTGTGTGTGTGTGTGTGTGTGTATGTGTATAATACATATATATATATATATATATATATATATAATATATATATATATATATATATATATATATATATATATATATATATATATTATATTGGTATGAATGAGAACGAATATCTTCACAATACAAGAGATATTCGTTCTCATTTATACACATTTGTCAACATGAATATTATATATATATATATATATATATATATATATATATATATATATATATATATATATATATATATATATATATATATATATATAATATAATCAATAATCAAACATTGCTGATTATTGATCCTAAATGTGGAAAACCAAAATTTGTAGCTGCTAGATTAAAAAGATGGTCAGTAGAACTTGTTCTATACAACTATATCCTGGAGTATAGGTCTACCACAGACATGGTGAATGCAGATGCACTGTCTCATTTACCAGTGGATAGAACATCCAGGAAGTAGCTTGCATTATGCTGGCAGAGGCTCGTCAACTACATTGTGTAAAACTACATTTTATACAAGAAAAGATCCATTAGTCTCAAAGGAATTGCAAAATTCAATAACAATGGAGGGTATTTAAGTTAACCCGACTGCATTTTCACAATATCTGGTAAGAATTAATTTTGGTTTTACTTACCAGGAATATATTTGTAGAAGGGGCACCTTCTCTGCTGCTGGTCTGCCTTACCCTCTTGCTGCATAAAGCAATTGAAAAAAATTAAATCATTCAGTAAAAGTAATGGGAAGCTTGAGTGTATGCACGAGTCCGTGTTTGTGTGGTTAGGTAGCATTGGTAGTGTGGTGGTGATACAGTATTAATTTGCCAGATTTTTTAAAAGAAAAATTTGGAGAAGCATCTTTCTGTGTTTCTAAAGCAAACAAATTCCTGCTATGAAAATATTCCCATAGTAGGTGAATATGATAAAGCATACGCATATATACTGACAACAATAAAGAAGGAACTAGATTTTCTGATTTGACAAGGTATTATCATTACAAGCTTCATCACAAATTTCAAATTATGTTTTCACATACAATTATGCCTAATGATGTCTGATGCATACTTTATTTATGGGTGGATTTGTTTTACCAATATTGTTTACATACAGACAGCTTCATAGATGCTTGGTCACCAGGAAGTCTATTACTTTACCTGCCTGATTATATTTGTTTAGCCTGTGCATTTTTTTGAAGAAATGTTTTCATTTGTATTACTACTATTACTGTAATAAATATCATTATTACTGTTACTATCATAATCACCATTATATCTTATTCAATATAAAATAATAATGAAATCATAAAAAAATTCTGCCTAAAAATACAAAGAATAGGGTATAAAAGGCCAAGTTGACCTAGTACTTCACACCATGGTGTAAGTCCTTCTGTGTAAATAAAATTAAGAAACCTAAAACAACAGACAATGTATGTAAAAACAAATTCCTGGCATCAAAGGGTTAATATTCTACAACTGATCTTTCTGTTATTCAATAATATACTTTATTTAGTAATCAACAAAATCATAATTTCAATTTCTCATCATTATACGGAAATGGGGAAATTTATCTCATGGTACATATGCTAAGTGATCTTGTTGATTTTTATACAAAGCTGATTGCAAATAATTTTATTCATTGCCTTGCCATTATATGAAGCTGCATTCTTTAAGAATGCATGCTGAAAGAAAAACAGTGCAGAAGAAATACCACATTACATATATGATTTATGTGCACAGGATGGTAAGTTGGCTTCTGATATCTTCTGATAAAAAAAGTAAAGCAAAGCAAATCAACACAAAGCAATGCAAAGTCTTCTGATAATTACATACC